TGTAGAATCAGTACTGAAAGTATTGTCGAAGGGTTCATGTGCACTTTAAACCAAAGATCAAGGGCGCCAGGACAGACGGATTGGATTTTGAATATGTGTGATTGTTTCAGTTATTCGTAGATTTCTAATTGAATTGATATATGCTTGTTTCTAAATGGATACTAAATAGTGTTCACTCATCTTTAAAATAAACGTCCTTTCCAACCAACAGTCTTTCTGGTTTGAATCAGTTATACGATATGAATATATTTACCACGTCCACCAACGGTCTTTCTGGTTTGAATCAGCTGTACGTACGCTCTGAGTATTTACCGCGGCACTATCAGTGCCAAGCAGCGCCGGCGCCGCTTCGTTAGCGATTACTCACCTTTAATAAGTTAATCAAATTTACCTTCAGCACAGTAAAATAGATTTTACTGTAGATTTTACTGTACTGAAGGTAAATTTGAGAAAAATGTTAAAATGTKATGGCATTTTTTTCTGAATTAATGTTACTTTGTTGGAACTGATTTCAGGTCATGATCTAGTTACATCACCTCTAAGAGACTTGGAGCATGAAGTCCAAGATAAAATCATTGATATCGTGGCCAGAAACATTGGGTATTATGGATCAAAACTCGGCAATTATTTAGATGTTAGCAAAGAATGCAGTCAGAATTATTCAGGTGTTGAACAGGTTAGTCAGATGCTTAGAAAGTGGATGACATCGTCTAATAATGGTACAGTTGAAAAGTTGTTTGAAGCTTTGAGGTATTTAAAGAGAACAAAGGCTGAGGCAGAGCTTGCTAATTATACCACAAAGCTATCTATAGAAAAAGCATCATCACCTTCTGTAGAGGATCCTTAGGCGAAAGTTGGCGCGCGTACGCAAATCACGAACTCGTCTTTAGACTTACTCCATGCTGACCTCTCTGATACTTATAGAATCACGAGTGAAGTAAGTAAGTGAAAAAAAGCGAGCGCCGGTCGAAGTCGTGCGATGCTGGTTGGGCTGCCTGTGCTTATTCAGCGCGCGACTAATACAATACGCAGACGAAGGACTTTGCCAAAGTCAGACTCGTCTTCTGAGCATGCGTTCCTCTAGGTCAGCATCGAGCATATGATGTCTATCCTGCCCTTTCACAAGCACGATGTACACTTGGCATTAACCCCACCCCCTCCCCTTACATTAAAATAGTAACCTTTYTTTAAAACAATTTTAGATCTTCAGTAACTTATTTTCAATATTGCGGTCAAAAACTGAGATCAAAATTGAGGCTACGAGAAAACGAAAAGCAATCGCAATTATTAATCTGTTTGTTTTTGCCAACATTTCATAATCACTGAGCCCATGTCGAAATTGTGCTTTTCTTGCGCCCAAAAAGGCAAATAGTTGTATATACTATTTTAGCGTGTAGTATATATATTACTTTTGAAAAGTAAACTAGTCAACAAGACAATAAATAATCTATAAATAATAATAAATAAATAAAAAAACACAAGTAAAACAGTTAGATAAATTAAATATATTTAAAAATCGAGAGAATTAGAAGATAGTGTTTCTTTTAAAGAAACTTTCCAAGTAAAATAGCTAGATATTTGTATATAGTTTTACTACAGTTTTGTTTTTCGCGTAAAATCTGAAGATATTTTTAGTTATATATAGTTAAGTAAACTGACTACATATTTGTATATTATTACTATTTTTTACAGTTTTAAACGAGTTTATTGAAAATTACTGAGGATGTTTAGCATGTCGTGTTATGAAAGCCGTTGATCCGTTTTAATGAGTTTATTAAAAAAGCAAGTATCGTCCGAAGTAGTATGCCACGAAAAGGACATAGCTGGTTGGAAATATAATGCGTGACAGCTTGTCGACACCATGACCTAAATCACGTGCTTTTGACTGCACAATTTTGGGCTGCTGGTCAGAATGATTTTGGGTCTTCTCTGGTTGCACATCTGTCATTTTGAATCCTTCTTGGAAAACGTCTGTGATAGTATAGGGACAGTCTTCCTTTACGAATATTTCCTATGTTAAGGAAATAAACAAAAGGCGAAGTTTTCTCTATGATTGGGGAGCACAAGCGTAAAGATAGGGCGGTGGGGTTGGAAGGAAAAAATGAAAAAGGAAGGAAGAAAAAAAGAACAAACTTACAGAATGTTAGATACAAACAAATGGATGCAAAAAAAGATCGATTAACAAAAGGGCAGACAATCGCGAACAGACAAAGAAAAAAACGAATCTGAAGGATTGATAGTAAGGCTTCAAAAGAAAAAAGCAATCTGATTAACACCAAGCAAAAAACAAAAACGAAACAAAACAAAAAACAACGAAAACAAACAAACAAATAACAAACCTACAACAACGAAACAAGTAAAACAGGAAGAATGGAGAGATGGGAGGAATAAAAGTCGTGCGAAGAAGGAGGAAGCTAGAAAAGAACGAAGGACGTCAAAAACTGATACATAAACCCCTTGCAGCACTTTGAATGGAGATCTATTTGGAGGTCAAAATAATAGGTTTCCAATTTTCAGGAGATGAAATTCTTTTGTTATGTCCTCCAAATTGGCCCCTTGGATGTCACCTGCAAGGGTTTATAGAAGGAAGAATGCTAGGATGTTTGATTTGAGTTTTGTTAACGTATTACCTGTCGTTTATCTTCACGCCTAGACATTTGTCTCTGTTTCATGTTCTTGGTTCTTACGTCCCCTCGTACATTATAGACTAGGACACTCTCCATCAAAGCCAACAAAATAAATATAAACGAAGCCAAGAGAAACTCATCAGCAGCTTTGATGTAACTGACTTGAGGCATGGCACTATTGATGTACTGGGACAAGAACATTGCTGTTAACAAGGTAGTGATACCCAGGGACATACGGTCACCAATTTCGTAACGATCCATCCAGAATGGCAGCCATGATACAACCGCGCATAGAATACAGGGGAAGTAGAATTGCAAAATGAAGTAGCCAAGCCGACGACGGATCTTGAACTGGAAAGAAAGGGAGCTGAAGGTGCCTAAGTACCAAATGAAATAATCAAACCTTGTCACTCCAGAAATCAATTTTATAGATGTTGAAATTTAAAACATAAAACGAAGAAGTCTGCCCAAACACCTGCATGGAATCTGCCTACATTTCAATCCAATATACATGATTGTTTTTTAATATAGTACTTATCAGAGGCATCTTCTTCCATCGATACTCCCCTTCATCCCACACCATGTAAATACAGCCAATCCGAATGCAGGAAAGCCGAAGACTGGGATCGAGCACCTCGAACAGTTAATGATTTCAAAAATATATTTTCATTACAAGAAAGATCATGCCAAAATTAGTAATTCCGGAAAGTTCTGTTGTCATGTATTAAATCCCTGAAGAGTTATAAGCATTTAGAATGCTGGTAGGCCCTTGGTTGTAGTTTCCTTACAAACCTTTATAATTTCAGACAGCTGTAGCTTTTTATCATTTCATGTTACTATACTGAAATTTTGGTGTAATGTTACTACACTAATTTGGATATACTCTTTCTAATGTAAGCATTGTTGTCTTCTATAAGTGATGAACTAAGGTATCTTAAATTAAGGGACACGCCCTTTTTCATGTGGTCGATACACATTCGCTTAAAGGCTCCTGTGTAGATATTATAAGTGGTATAAGCTTTGTATTACTAGTATGTACAGGCTTTGCACCATACCGTGATGACAGCCATGAAAGGGACACAAAAGTAGAGCATTATTCCACAGCGAAGTCGAATTGTTTCTCGTGTAAACCAGTTTAGAGCGGATTCAATTGTACTGCCTCCTTTCATGGCTGTCATTACGTGATGGCAAAGCCTCTATGTATGTAGATTTTTATTTGACCTGTGATAAATTTATATTTCTCTTCATTCATGATAACTTGCTCGCTTATGAATCCTGCCAGTTCTGTGTTCAGAAACAACCCACTTTTCCATTCCAATAGTATTTTGTCAGAATCATAGGCATCTGGAAAAAATCATTTACAGCCATTCTCAATCACACGCGCCCTTTAGCGATTGTTTCTGTTGCGACGAAGAAGCTTTTGGTGGACGTCAATCAAGGCGTTTCCATGACATTCTATAGTCACGTGCCCTTATAGCTTTGTGTTTTCCGACAATGTTATGGAAACATCTTGTGATTGACGTCCACCAAAACCTTCCTCGTCGCTACAGAAACAATCACTAGAGGGCGCGTGTGATTGAGAATGGCTGTAATACAGCATCTAGTATATTGTCACCATTGTAAATATCAGAAATACCAAAAAGGCTAACGCCGAATACAAACGGTTGAACTTCACAGAGCCAAAACTACTATGACATAAGTGAGAAGACCATCTTATCATTCGAAGATTGAAGAAATCGCGACACAGATTGAAAACAAAGGAATCAAACTTGAGCAGTCCAACTTGAACCAATCAGGAGCAAGCAACGAAGCCTAGATATCTGAGAAAACCTAGCTGTTATCAACAACCTTTGGAATGAGTGACTGTGATTGGCTCAGGTTAATATGATACTGATTTTGTTCTCTCCTGATTGGCTAAAGTCTTTTTTATCTTAATTTTTGTTCAAGTGGTCCCGGTTAGTTTGTCTACACAGTGTCACTTACAGCTCATGTGGAATTTGAGGTTTGAACTTAATCTAACAATGATAATAACGATACCAATTACATAGAGTGAATTTACTTCGCCGGAAAAAATAAAATTGAAAGAAACAGTCAAATCAAAACAAAAGAGAATAATGGAATCAATATGTCTATAACTTTGTATCATGCTTACTATTTTATTACCGGGCAAGTAAAAGCACTTTTACTTCCCCACCACTACTACTGCAACAACAGAACTAGCAATAATAAATACATCAACAACGATATAATATCAAAAATTTTATTAACAACAATCACACCCAAACATTAATAAAAACATCACCAATCACAACCACAATTACCCAATAAAAACTGCAACGAGTTAACCATGATCACAAAAACAATAACGGTACCTAAAACAATAAGTTTAACACAAGATAATATTAACTAAGAAAAGGAATCCCTGCGCTTCATCATGAGCACTCTGATGCTATTTTAAGAATCATTTATTTGATCTTTTTTTCTCTCTGTACGAGCATACTGCGCGCGCTCTACTCTATTTGCTCACGTTTTCTTTTTTTTAACAAAAGCAAACAGCGTAGAGAACGCGCAGTATGCGCGTGCACCAAAACAAACCTTGGCAAAAGTGATTCTAAAAATAGCATCAAACGGTGCCTAATGGTTACAAGCATGAATACCATAGATTCCTTCTCTTAGCTCATTTTCTCTTGCTTTAACGTAAATATATAAAAATCAACATTACGTTAGCGACCACAGTTTCTTTGTTACTCACAGCTGTAGATTTGTACTTTAAGTATCTGTTCGTCCATTGGGTAATTCAGGAAGTTCATTTCCGACAATACAATATACGTTGACCTGAAATATGTTTCTTATAGAATCATTTACGTAAGTATTGGTTGTTTGTTTGTTGTCCTCAGTTTTATTTGTTCGCCTGTCTCATTGTTTCTTTCCCAGCGTGCTTGGATGGTTTGGGGTCGCTTGAGTCTATCGATCGATCGGATTATTTGATCGTTCATTTAATACTTTGCTTGCCTTTCTACGTTTTAACCATTCCGAGGGTGAAGAAAAAAAGTGGGTCTACTTGACATTGTAGTGCATTGTGGGACGGTTTTAGGGGAATATTTCCAAGTTAGTGTCTATTTCAAACCTAAAAAAGTCTCGCAATGCCAACTCGACCCAGTTTTTCCCCTCAACCTCGGTATGACTAATTAATTAACTTTTAATGAAACAGAATATACTTACTTGAACGTGTAAAAGATAGAACCATTTGCAGTTAGAATTGCAGTCCTGGTTCTTTTTTCCACAGATGATGTTCTTGCATTGGCAATATAGGTGTCTGGGAGCCACATTTTGTCGATAGCATCACCTTGAAGGATGATTGATGTGTTGTCCTTTCCGTATGCTAACCTTGGCTCATGCCAATATTGCCGAAAATATACATCTGCTTGGAACTCCTGTGATCGTGCAACAATATTATGGTAAATAAATGAAGTCTTTCTAGAACCACTCAGCACGCACGTAAAAAACGCACTGCGCATGCCCAGAAGTTCGGTGGGAAATTCGTAGACGCGTCGTGGTTTACAAATAAAACCATTTTAGATTTACCGGTGTTTGGTAATTTTTTTTTTTTTTTTTTTTTTTTTTTTTTTTTTTTTGAGGGCCATAAGTTAGATAACTCACAGAGTTATTACATCACCCTAGGGAGAAAAATCGAAACCAAAAACTTGCAACCCGTGGAAAGACAAGTTGTTAGTTACATTTTTAGTGTGTCTTTTTCCCCAGAATTTGAGTGAAAAACTAAAAGACTCACCATGTTTTCTTCAGAAATATGGCTTACAGAGTTAACTCCTAATGAAACTGCAATATTCAATGGCTTAACTGCAAAAGAAAAAGAAAAAAGAGCAAAAAGGTAATTGCACGTATATAATACAATTAATAAAAGGGTAAATGGTTTGAGCCCAGGTGTTGAAGTTGTTGTGAAGTTTGATCGTCCGGGTGAGTGTAGTCTTGAGAAAGACTGTTCTTGGTGATGATTGACGCTTCGACAACCTGAGCGGGAGTCATCTTCAGAGTCAAGTGAGAAAACGAAAGAAATGCAAGTAAGTTTAGCATCTGAAAAGGGTATACTGAACTGACTTCGGGCTTTAGTCCTTCGTCTGAACCCTCGGCTTTTTATTATGTAGTGTTCAGCTAAGTTATATTATCCACCATCTATGCTTCATACACCGACTCAACGCGTAGTTTACTCATTACTAGTTTAAGCAACACGCAAGAAAGAATTTTTATAGTAGACATTACAAAATTTAACAGTTTTTTACAATTTGTTTTCCAAATTCAATATTTTGTCCTCTCTAGTCTGTCTCCCGCCATTTTTACCCTTTATCCAAATTTCATTCTTTTCAATTTCATTTATTTTGTACCATTAATTTTAGAAATGTTTATTTCTTTTCGTGTATTATTTTTTGTACAACTATAGATTGTTGTAAGCCACTCTTATAGTAAGCTAATAACCATAAACCTATATATAATTCCTACCTTTATGGTAAGGTCTTTGGTTTTTATCATATCCAATGAATATACTTTTAATAATCTCGGTAACATTGTCTGTCTCTAAGACGTACAATAATTGGTATTCTTTCTTGAAATTCCTATAAAAATGGCAATCAAATTAGGGAAAWGAACAATATAATCTACACCAGTAGCAACAATCACATCAATAATATTAACAACAAGCAGCAGCAAACCACAACACCATGCAGGAATGTATTTGTAATGAAGCAACAACAACAGCAACAACAACAACGACAACAAAAGTAGCAGCAACAGCAACGACCTCGACCACAACATCATGAAGGAACTAAAAACTTCTGTATAGCAGGGACTGAACAGCAGCAGTAGCATCATCACTAGCATCATCAACATCAACAGAAGAAACAGAAGTAACAATTAATCACGACGAAAACATACAATAACAGCAGAAGCAACAACAACAACAGCAGCAGATACTGCATGGCAAGGACTGCATGAACCACAACAATCAGCAGTGACATCAGCATCAACAGAAGAAACAGAAGCAACAATCACAACGAAAACATAATACAGAAGCTACAATAATAGCAGGAGAAACAACAACAACAACGACAGCTGCAGCAGTGGCAACAGTAACATTATGCAACGACATAGCAATAGTAGTAGCAACAGCAACAAAAATGATGATCATCATTACCATCAACGATGTATACATTTAAGAAGGTAAGGATTTATTGTGCATACTCTATCTATTAGCTCTATAAAGTTACCAAGGTTGTTATCCTTACGAGTTTAATTTTGTTATCAGTATATATCTCTATAAAAAATGTATTAATTTATTTCGTATCCTTAGAATTGTTATAAGATATTAGGTCATCCAATGTGGACAGGGCAGAAAAACGAGAAGCCCGCTACTTTCATGATTTTTTTCATTTAACTGAGTTTAATACTCCAAATGTTTTAGCGTTTCATTTGTGTCACAGCTGCTCGAAACTTGTGACAAAATTTTGTCGAATTAGAGTAAAGGCTACTTATATTCGTATTCACGAAAATGTCAGTTTTTTTGCTGATCAAAATATCACCTCTCTCAAAGTATTCGGCTTTATATCTCAAATACGCATTCAATAAATTTTGTTCGCATATGATATTTTGCTATTTGGCTCCAAGAGAACGTGTTTACAAAATATTGAGCTTAAATACGTAAAGCTGTCCTTATGACGAAAGGCCAAAAACCGTTTTTCTGCCCTTTCCTCCATGTGAGCATATGCACACGATGAAATATGCTCGGTATAAATATTAAAGAGTTATGATTTTTAGAGCGTTGCATTCAAGTTTAAAAAAAACTTTCTTATTGTGAGGATGTATATGCTAGCTATATATCGTGGTTAATTTTTTAATAGTTATTTTAGATAGCTTGTATCTCATTTATTTCTGGTTCAATATTGCAAGCTGCTTTTTGTAATTTGTAACCATTGATACTAAGCGTAGGCCCACTTATTAATTATATTTGGGAAACCAATACTAAATTATTAATAAGTGGCGTACAAAACAGTTGAAAGAAGTATTTTGGCGTAAGTTTATTGCATAGCATTCTATTCTAAAAAAGTATGAATACTGAAGAAAAAAGCTTTGGTGAACAAATCCGGCAGAAAGTTAGCGGAAACTGTCTAAATTTAATTAACTAAACTTCGGTTTTGTTAGTTTAAAAAAGTCCTTGAATTCAAAAGAGACGAATTTTGATATTAAACTCATATAGGCGCCTGGCTGGTTATGGCATTATAAAATACCCTGTTTCTCTGAATTCTCCCTATCGTAACAATATTTTGCAGATTTCAACTCTCGTAACGGAATTGTTCATGGTGATTTTATGGTGTTCGTACTGTTTCTCCTAGTTAAACCATGAATAATCTTGCGCCTGATTATCTCAACAGCTTGTTCAGGAAACACTCTAGCATACATCAATATAACACCAGAAACAGCAATGATCTTGATATCCCGCATTACTAAGGCCCAAAATTCTTCTTTTAGAGAGGTTTCTGTTTGGAATTCCCTCCCTAGTGAAATCACAAATTTTGCATCAGTGTATGTTTTCAAAAGAAAACTGAAGTCTCACTATCTTGAACGTTGGTCACACTCGTAGTCCTTAGTACTTAGTCTTTGATTAGATTTCTCACTTTCATTACATATCTTATTATATCTTTATTCATGTATTTTTGTAATTGATTATAATGTAAATTAGGTATGAAAATCCCATATTGGGAACCTAATAAAGTCTATCAGTTGCATCGTATTGAAAACCTAATTACCGTTGCAGCTTTCCACAAGCTCAAAAATTTAGCTATCGAAACTTAAAATTCGGATCATAGAAATATCATTGGATACTTTCTAAGTTTTTACATACTGTTGTGTGAAAATTTAAGATTTAAATTTGAAAAAATTGTTGCAAACCTTGTTGTTTCATTGGAATTAGCGTATTTTTCTTGTTGTTTGTGGAACAAAATTTGACTATTATTCCTTTGCAAGGAAATAGTTGTTTCGATAGTTGGCTTACTATACGTTGGTGCTATGAATTCTTTAATCTACGAATCAATACGCATAGCTATTCTTTAAGTAATATCAAATGTTTAGGGGTCCCAATTGCCAGATCGATATGGATATGGAATTTTTACAAGAAAAAGAAGAAGAAGAAAAATCAAATGATTTATTTTTTTCCGGTCCGGTATCCTTAAATATCGTGCGTTCTGATTGGCTGTTAGAAAGGGCATTATTTTGTCAGTATCTGCCCGCGATCGCGATCGCGGTCCGGTGTCCTTTACCGCTAAACAACAACACAAAACGGTTACAAAAACAAGTAAAAAACATATGGGAAAAAAATAAATAAGTTATTTACCGTCCAATTATCGGTCCGGATAGGAAAATCTGTGCCCTCGGTCTTGAAAACGGGCCTCGGCCTAACGGCCTCGGTCCGTATATTCAAGACCTCGGGCATTTCATTTCTTAAACTTAGAGTTTATCATTATTCGTTTTTCGTTGTTATTATATAATTTTTGTTAAGATGCTCTTCTAATTTGGAGCCAAGCTCTGTTTTGCTTACCCCTTCCATGATCACTTAGAAACTTAGGTAAGGAAATATCTATATACACCAAATCCCTAAAACTTTGACACATTTGGGATGTACTATACATTAGTATCAAGAGAATATCCATATTCTCTTGTCACTATATACTGATGAAGGTAAGCGATTTCAATAATTTCTCAACATGATAGTTTCTCAAATTTGTTAGCAAGGTGTTCTAGAATACGTAATTAGGCTTTTTAGCATGTTTGGAGCTGAATTGATCCTTGTCAGTTTACTTTTAATTTTTTCAATAAAAATAGCACACAAACGGATATGTATATATATCGTTAAATTGTCAATGCCCTGGCCATATATATTTAGTTGTAGAGCTAGCAATACTCATCTAATATGGCAGGTGCAATTGTGTTATTTCAATTAGTTTACGACTTACCCTTCATTGGCAACAGACTTCCCAAAGAAGTTTAACAATAGGAAAACCAAAGTTGTAGCTTGCATTACTTCTTATGCACTGAATAAGAAAATTCTTGGCGAGGATTTTCAATATACCCTGTCATTTATCAAGCTAATCAGTTTTTATTGGTGGAGACTAATAAACTTTAGCAAATGCTCCAATTCAGTGAACATATTAGGCATAGAATATTATAGGTAACACGTCAAGACAATATTTTTGACAAAATGATGTAAATAGAAATTAAAAAGGAATAAAAGCATTAATTTTTTTCGAAAGTGGAAAAGTACGTTGCACGGCAGCCGAGCAGTGCGGTAAAAAGTGTTAGGTAATTTTACTGCATATGGGTATTATATTAAAACTAAGAGTTCTAACGCGCTCTTATTGGTCAAATCAGTTGCCACTGGAGGAGATTGTCTAAAATGCTTACGTCATTTATTTTTTTCCGAGCGCTCCTAATTTGCACATTCATACGAAAAATAAAACGGCAGTTTTGGTTAATTTGTGTGTTTATTATTTCATAAAAGAGATGATATAAAACAGTTTTCCATTATTCTGACCCTCTGATCTGAACACTTGGGATGCTGAGGGAACACTTGAGAAGCTGGAAACCACTCTACATTAAATAATCATTTGTTGTCAACATAACTACTTCCACGATTCGGCCGCCATCTTGTATCACAAGGCATTTTGGGGCGTCCATGGGGCAGGTAAAGCTTTATTACGATAATGACGTCGACTGATATTAACAGCTCACCACAAGAATAAAACGAAACTCTATATTTTTTGCCATCTTTGTTTGTTTGGCCCCCTGGCAAGGTGGCGCTGCTTCGTCGCAGTAGTTCATTCGATATTGATAGTTGAGCAGCAATAATATATATCCGTATCATTTCAGAAAGACACAACACTCTAAAATCCTGTAACATCGTGTAAGTAATGTAACATCAGTAAGATGCTAAATGTTTAGTGAATTACCAATATGAACACGATGCTAAAATCAAAAGAAAAAGTGGTAGCTAGTTTTAAAAACAATGTTGGGGACTCGACCCAGTCTCTCACTGGTAAAGGTAAACCTTATCCACTGTTTCCCATTTCATACCACGTGTCATTCCCTAGAGTATCATTTCTTTGTTTATGGGTTGCACATGAGAAGAAACATGGATATAGAGCGTTTTCACTCACGTAAGAAGGCAGCCATAAACAATAGAAACTTTCTGCACAGTATTTGCATAAAAATAGAGCTCAATTCCCGGAGGATAGAAAATGTATTGTTTTGGTACCCCATGATGGCCTTTGTGACGTCACGTGAAAACGCTCTATGGATAACATGAAACAAAGAATCTTATACCCCATTCCCACCAAGGCTTAAACATSTTTTAAAGTGGTTTAACTAAACAGGTTTGGAAAACTATCTACGAACACTGCACTATATTTGGTGAAATGATGCATGTAAGCTATCCTTTATCTTGCTCTGACAATATTCTATAAAGTTTCATTACATTGTAGGTTTCTAGTTTCTCAATTTTTTTCCTAATGAAAGCATAGTTTAACTAAACACGTTTAGGTATGAATGGGGTATTAGTCTCAATTAAATAACATGTGCTCTGAAATGGGCAAAGCATTCGCACCCTAGTAAATTTGGTCCATTGTGAACCACTTTGTAAAGAATTTTGCGAGTTATGACGTCGTCCTTTCGAAACCATAGGCGGACCGAAAGTTGTTGCTCTCGGTTTCTAGGTTATTCCTGAACCAATTAAAAGGGTTGAATAGTTGAGTCCTGATTTTTTTWAAACAGATTTCTCGAACTTTTTTACCTCGTGAACTTGATTTTTCAGCGTTCTTAATCGTGAATAGGAGCTATTTAAAATGTTGTTAGGGTTACGAGTTGTTCGTGGTCCAGACTGGAATTTAGGAAACCTTGATGGCGAAGAAGGTGGGATTGGTACAATAGTGAGTGTCGAAATTGGCCAGAACGGTAGGCCTTTGCCGGAGAAGAGTGTTTTGGTCTACTGGGATTCAGGTCCAGCTGTGGTCTGTAGAGTTGGTTCGGGCGAGTGCTATGACTTGCGAGTGTATGACTCTGCGTCATCAGGTATTTCACTTAGGTATCTTCAGTCATCAATATTGTCAACTAGGTGCTTGGTAATACACTTGGATAAAATCCAATATGACGGCTTCCCACACCTTGTTTAAACTGTCAATCATTGATTCGGTTTAAAAGACCATGAATTCTTGTGGTGCACGTGACGTCATGGCCGCCATTTTCGTTTACTTTGACAAAGTATTTAGTTTTGGTGTAGTCATGTCATCCAACATGAAGGTCACTACTTTTCTCCTTTTATTCCCATGGGAAGGAAAGTACGCCACCAATTGTACGTCTGATGTTAATTCATGTGCATATCTGAATAGCAGAGCAACGCATACCCTAACCTCATGCATAAGTTACCTCTGTATAAGGTAAAAGATAATCCTTACATTCATTCAAATTTGTCTCTGTTTTACCACACTTCTGTATACCTTTATTATAATATCAAGAGGGTCAAAAAGGCCTAAACAACAAACAACGAAGGTAAAGAGGTCTATGCTGTTGTCTATCTTGGGTTCGAAACTTGGAAAATATTTCAAAAAAATATTGGTATATTGGTAAAAATATTTCACTTTTGACCTCACCCTTTTGGTTTTGATTCTAAAAGCAACAGAACTAGAGGACACAGCCTTTTGAAAACGTCACTCACGTATTTAGGGATGACGATTATAGTATTGAGAAAAGATAAATGTTTTAACAGATAGAAAAGCTTTAGGAGTTAACGTTCAGTTTGCTTGGATTTTGATCTAGTACGGAAAATATTACAAAAAAACAAACTTACTGCATAATGTTTCACTTTTGACCTCACTCTTTTGGTTTTGATTTTAATAACGACAGAACTAGAGGCCACAGCCCTTTGAAAACGTCACAATTTTTAGGGATGACGACTATTGCCATTGCATGAGAAAATATATGCATGTTTTTAACGATAAAAAAGCTTTAGGAGTTCAGTTTGCTTGGATTTTGTCCTGGTACGGCAGCATAGAAAATAATAGAGTTGAATTAGTGTAAGTAAACCTAAACATGTTTGCTCATTTTTGTCCGCCATGTCTGGTGTGGCTAATTTAAGTGAACAGCCACAGGGTGCCCGTGTACCCCTTTCGTGGATTAGAATTAGTTGTTTGGATCAAACATTAAAGATCGTAAAATACTAAAAGGCATATCTTTTTTAAAACGTTTTGAACCCCCCCCCCCCCCCCCACACCTTTCTACTCATTAATAAATAACGGCCATGTTTTTACTAGGGTAGCACTTAGCAGCCAGTGGTTTAAAAAACCTGTGTCCCTCCATGATTGAAATGGAATTCAGGAGTCGATTTTTTATTTCTAGATCTGCCCGTAATGATATCGGTTAATTAGTCAGTCCCTGTGCACATAATAGCTAATAAATTTTCTTATACCACTTTAAGGTGTCTTGCACACACAGTTTACTTGCGATGAATGTGACCAATCAGGTATTGCTGGGATGAGATGGCATTGCTGTGAATGCCACGACTATGACTTGTGCTCTGATTGCTACATGACTGATAAACACCACAAGGACCACAACTTCGTAAGGTTTGACAAACCCAATAACAGAATTGATGGGTAAGTTAGGTAAAATGACCCCAAACGATAGTGTTCAAATCGATGTTCACGTTTATTTCATTTCATCTCATCCCATCTCATCTCATCTCATCT